ACCCTGAAGGTTTAATCCTCATTATTGATAAGAACAAATGAATGCGACTTCCACGCCCATCCCTGCAGAGCTGCAAGGGAAAGCCTTGCAGTTTCTCGGCCCGTGATCCCCATTCTTTGACAGCTTTCCAGCCTGGCCATTCATTTAGGTGTTGGAAGAGGTGAACTGGGAGCTCAAGGGGAGGGGCACCAGGCCTCACTACTTCATAAAAGTGATCAGCTCTTGCCCCTTTCCTCCACCATTCAAACAGTGTAAATATTTGCCAGGGCAGATGTTTGATTTTTATCTGAGCTCTTCCTTTGTTTAACTTTATTCTCATGGGTGGGTAAGTGGAAGATAAGGGATTCTTGTTTAATGCTTTTCAACTGGTGTTGCTCAAATATTTGGAGAGCGGTGCCTCGGGCCGAAGGAGCAGGCGGGAACTGGTTGGAGGGAGGTGGAGAGGTGGGTCCTGGCTCTGCCTTATCTCAGGGGGCCAGGGCCGGGCTAGGGTCCCGCATTCTGGCTCCCCGCCAGCCACGCTCCCGTTGGGCGTCCGCTGGGAGCTCTCTCTTGATCCACCCTAATCCCAGGTGTTGCTTTCAGAAGAAAGGATCTATTTTTCTAACCTTTTGCACTTGTCTGTTCACTTTCACAGTGACGAAACACAAGCAAACAAGCCCCAAAACACTCCCCGCCCCACGAGCTGCCACCGGCCGCACGGGCTTCAAGTCTGCACCCAGCAGTCGCTTTAAGCCTTGCTCTTCCACAGAATCCACAGGGATTTGCTGTTTAAATCTGTGCCTTAGAATCACATCTATGAACAATACCGCGTTTCACCGCCCTGGGAGCCCAGGAGGGGTGGGGCTTTGTGTTATAAATCAGGCAGACTTCCCTGGAAATGTTTAGGAAAACCCAGCATTCTGAGTGATTTGCCTGGCTAGTCACCTTCCCTCAGAGATTTAAACAAAGACCAAGGCTGAGATTCAGGAGGAGTAAAGCCCAGCCAGTCTGTGTGTTTCTCTCTCCTGTCTGTCTTTCTTCTTTCTAAACTGGGACTCTGCTGAACAGTTGATTTATGAATCGAGGCTGAATGAAATCCAATTGGAACTCACTTGAACACTGTTTTGATGTAAGATTCAAAGCTCCTGCAAATTTATTTTATCTTCTGCATTTGCTGATCTCCTGCTTGTAAATCCTGTTGAAGGAGAATAAAAATGACTGCGGTCTGATGGGAATTAAATGTCTGAAGTTCAAAGCCATTCGCACATCACAGCAAGCGTCAATCAAGCGCCTGTCTCGGAAGGCAGGCGGGGAGTGGACTTCTCCACGGGGCAGAGATCAAAGTGGGCGTCGCAGCTCTGTTTTTTCCCTCGGGATGCTGTTTCGATCAGTTGTTCCTGAAAGTAAATCCAGAAGGAAGGGGGTTTTTTTTCCCCCTCTTAAGGGGGTAGGAGAGATGGAGTTGTTTCTCTTCAGACACTGGTTTTATCTTATGAAAATGAGTATAGAAGGCAATTTTAATCCAGTGTCTCCATTTTTTAGAGTCAAGATCTAGAGGAGATTTAGATAGGGCTTTTCTGTTATGTTGAGTAACTTTTTAAAAGCACAAGTGTAAAGCAAACCGAACATCTTAATGTGAACGGCCCTCTCATTTCGTAAGCAGAGGTATGACTGCAGCAGCTGTCCACCTTTACACACCTAGAATTATCGAAATGGGACCAGCCGTGAATTTATTTCCCGTTGCAGAATCGTTCTGGTAACCCCGAGCATAATCGACCTGTTTTTGTAAAGAGTCTTAAGAATAGCTTTCTATTTCCCTCGGTCCCCAAGCCTGGGTGAGTGTCACACCGCTCTTTATAAACGACTCGTCTCCAAGGCACAGGTGCACAGAGTGCCGCCATGCCCTTGGAAGGCAGTGGCCTGAGGGCGGCTGACCTTGGCGCGCTGTACTCTGGTATCTGAGTCTCTTGGGGCCTGGAGCCGCGCAGCCACAGAGGAGAGCTGAGAGGTGGTGGCCTCTGCCTTCGCCTTTGCCTCTTGCCTTCGCTTCTCCCGGCCTGGCAGCCACCGGTCCTCCTGTGAGCCCCCAGGCCCGGGAGTCTTTGTGCTGAATCCTGGCTGGTACAGCGTGCAGGCTGCATGAGGCAGAAAGGCCCAGCGCTGCAGTCATTATGGTCAGCCAGCCGGAAGTCACGGCACACCCCACCTCCCCACGAGGTGCCAGCCCCGGAGCTGACGTGCGTTTCACAGAGGCTCGGCACCCGAGGAGGACTGCAGCCCGCCTGAGGGTGGCTGAGGGCCGAGGTCCTGGTGCGGACGCCTCTCCCGGCCTCCTGAGCTGCTCTTTGGTGACTTCTTCCTCACGGTCACTCCAGGAAGCAAAGGGACGGCGGCTCATGCCCGGAAAGCAGTGGCGGGTTCGCATCTCTCAGGGCCCAGACTTGCTGTGTGACCCTTGCTGTTGCTCTTCTACGCTGTGAAGTGGATACAGCAGGGCCGGCTGTGGGCTGCAGAGAGCCCGAGTCTCTGTGTTCTCAGGATTCAGATCTGAGAGCCCCCGACCTGAGCTCAGCGCAGAGCCTGCCTGCGGTTTCAGCGCCCGGGGAATTTGCGGGTCAGGACGGGATGGCCTCTCATTCCTCTGAGCCTTGCAAGGCCAGATTCCTGGTCCTTCCCCCAAACTCACATTTTAAATCAAACTCTCCCAGGGTGGACCCCGGGAGACCCCGTCACAGCACGCTGCCTGGGTGATTCTGGTGTGGCTAGAATCCCAGCACTGGATAACGGTTCAGATGAGTCACCGTCCTCTCCTCTGTCCAGGACACGGCTGGGCAGCGTGGGTGTCTGTGGAAAACCGCTCATGTGGCACCTACTGTGGATAAGAACAGCGCTAAGCCTAGTGCATTCGGCGGTGGGAAAACCAACAAGACGGCGCCTGCCCTTGTGCGCCTGATCCGTGGCACCCGTGATTCATCAGACAGCGTGAAGTGCCCGTAAGAAACACATAACCAGAGCCACGCGTGAAATGGGGCCGCGTGGCTGAGCAGACACAAGGCCCTCGATGTGACCCGAGACACCTTCGGTCAGATGGGTCTTCCCCAGGCAGCCGGGCTCCCTCCAGGCTTGTCCTGCCCAGCTGTCCTATGACGCTGCACATGGAGCTTTAAGTAAGCAGGAAGTTCAGTGTCCCAGTCACACCAGCCACTTTTCAAATGCCCAGTAGCCACGTGGGGCTGTCACACCAGACACTGCAGAAATCACCCGAGTTCATCATCGCTGGGTGGTCCTCGGTCCAGGCCAGAGCAAGTATGACACCACCTGCTCTGTCAATGGAGCGTTGCTGGAAGACATCGCTATGTGTCTTTTGTGTTTTTTCTGTGGCCGCTGTCCCCCAGGTCAGTGGTGGCACCACGCCTTACTGCCAAGGCACAGAGCTTAAAATAGGTGTCACTGGCCATTATTTAGTCCCAGCTCTCAGGGAATAGGCTTGGCACAAGGGTGGGGTGATTGTGCCCCGATGCCCCGCCAGACAGCTGCTGCGGCAGTGACCCCTCCCCTGCGCCCAGCTGTGGGTGTCTGTAGAAGGAGTCTCTTCTGAACGCCTTGGAGCGGATCCAAGGAGGGAGAGCAGCGTGGGTGAGCGGCCGTCCTGAGACCCGGGTGGTGCTGTCGGTGTGATTCTGCACTGTCACAGAGGCCGAAGGGCTGCCAAACGCAGCTCCCTCCTCAGGCCCCGGGGAATGGGATGAGACCGTTGAGCTTCCTCTGCTGAAACGGGCCCAGCCCTGCGCTCACACGGGACTGGGTTCCCCACTTCCTGCCTCCTCTGAGGTGCGAGCTGGGACACTTGGGAGGCGTCACCGTGCACAGGAACGGTCATGTGGCCTCGTCTGGGAACCCTCTCCCCCGCCACGGGTTCGAGGAAGGACAGGAAGGACCCCGAGCCATGTGCTTCATCAGAAGTTCTTAAAAACATGGTGTCACGCGGAGTTTATTTACCCCAGAAACTTCAGAAGTCTTTGCAGTATCTAAAACCCTAATGGTTTACATGGTGGACTCTGGGCTGAGTAGAAAATAAAGTGCAGCGTTGTTTTGGTTTTTTTTTCCAGATAAGAAAATTGAGGTTCAGAAAAATGGCATAAGTTTTCCAGGGTCACACATGTAGTTGTGGCAGAGCACGGGTTCGAACCTGGGCCTCTCCTACTCCACGGCTATTCTTGCATTTTTATTGCGCCCACTGTGATTTTCAGATAAGATTGGTTAGAGAGTTCTTCTTCACATTTAATATAAGAGCGTGAGTCTAAATTTTTAAAAATTCCTATCTGAATTTTATTGTCTATTTTGTCTATGATTTTATCAATGAATGATACCAATAAGTTCAAGGGATAACTGGCTTGAAGGTCAGTTTTTTGTTTCACGCTGGAGTTTTGTTGTTGTTGTTGTTGTTTGTTTTTCTTTTTGCGGGGACGCTTTGAGACAAAGTCTCTCTGCTGGCCTTGAACTCACTGCATACCCCAGGCTGGCCTTAACTCAGAGTAATCCTCCCGTCTCAGGCTCCCAAGTGCTAGGATTACAGGTGTGGGCCACTATGCTGTTTTGTTCTGTTCTTTCTGTTCTGTAGTGCTGGGGTTGCGCTCGGGTGCTCTACCACTGAGCTACAGCCTCATCTTTTTTGATTCTTCATTTTTAGGCAGGATCTCATAACTGACCAGACTGACCTTGAAACTTGCGTTCCTCTTGTCTCAGTGTCTTGAGTAGCTGGAATTACAAAGTGCCATCTCCCCTGCAGTCAGTTGTTTTTAAATTTTCCACCCTGAGCTTGATTTCTAAATACTCTACGTGCAGATTTGCTTTCTGTCCTGAAGTTTTCCCCGTACTGTGTTCTCAGCATGAAGTCCCTCTTCCACTGCTCGCGGGCCGACCTGTTTTGTGCACAGTAGGAGCCATTATTTCTGTTGGTTGGTTTGCCAGGTTAGATAACCAACAAATAACCATTGCTAATCCTCTTGTTGTTTCAGATTCGATGGGAACTTTAATACCAATGTATCTAGAACAATTAGTTGTGATCGACTTTCTACTACTGTTAATAGCCGAGCCTTCAATCCGGGACGAGACTTAAATTCAGGTCAGTAACTTGTTAGTTCTGTAACAGTGAGCTGTCCCTCACCTTGTTCAAGTTGAATGCATGTGTTGCCTTAAACATCTTTCTGCATCCAGTATGAACAGCGATAAGAGCTGCTCTGCACCTACATGTGTGTAGATACTTCCGGCTTTGGGGAAGCACAGCATGTCTTCCTTCCGGCCGGCCCTGGGCTCCGTTCCTGTCTCTCCCCATTTTGGTTTGTGCACCCTTGGCGATGCCTCTCAGAACCTACAGGTCACCTCTTTAAAGTGGCAGAGATTTTACACCTCACACCAGCCTCCGCGTCGGATTTTACAAAGAAGGAATGTTGGGTTTCAGAAGTCCTGAGCCTTCCCTTACTCCTGGGAAGCTGAAGGATCTCAGTCCTTAAGAAGCACTGTGTTCCCCAAGGCCAGGCCTGCTGTCACCATTAAAGCCCAAGAGAGAAGCCAGGGGGCACAATATTTACTCCTGCGGCCCCCGCCAAGCCCTGTCTGGGGGAGAAGTCATATCTTTCAGAGCTGTGTACCCAAACGGGGCCGTCTGTTGGGTCTGGGAAGAAAGTTGCAAGCTTTTTGTCTTTAGGGGTAATAAAGCAGCTTCCAAATTAATGATCCAACTGACATCTGCCTGGTGCACCTCCTCTGGTCCAGTAAATAATAGATTCAATTATTTTTTAATTGACTGGAGGATCTAGCAGCCTTTCTGGAACAGGTAAATTCACTTCCAGAGAAGAAGTGAAATCAGAATATTTCTCGCTTAAAAAGAAAATAACAGAAGCATCTTTGATGAGGGCACAGAAGGGGCAAATAAAATGAATTGAGGAAAATCCCACAGCTGGCACGACATGGAGCTGGCCCTAGATTCTCCAGTTTCTCAGATTCACTAATTTCCCTCAGGAAAGCTCAGCCATGTGAGCTGTGGTGCTGGGCTTGAAAATGTGAGGGTGAAGTAGAAATCGTAGGGCACTCAGAGTTAAGTGTGTCCCCAGAACACACCAGGCGGTTCACCACTGTTACACCTCCACAGCTCTGGCACACTTGTGGTTCTCTGAATCAGTGACGAGAAAGCGTGTTATTCATCTGCACAGGCTCTAGGAGGCCCCCTCAGCAGAGCTGTCTTTTAGTGATGGAGTAGAGGGATATTTTCACTCCATGTTTCTTAAGTTTAAACTAAACATTAATTGTTTTTATAACCAGGGAAAAATAAAATAAAAGGGAATTACAGGTACAGGGCTCCTCAGTATCTGGAGTGGTTAGACCCAGAGTGTCTCTGGTGGATACCAAGACCTGTGGGTGCTCAGGTGCCTTGCATAAAATGGGGTGATATTTGCATAAAACCCACACATCCTCTTGTGTACTTTAAACCACCTCTAGATTACTTTAGCATGCCTAACGCTATGTAAATGATATGTAAATGATCATATAGTATTGCTTAAGGAATCACGATGAAAAAATACTTGGGTCTATGCAGTACAGACTCACATTTTTCCCGACTTTCCAGTCTGAGGTAGGTGTGAGCCACAAGTGTTTCTTCCTGCGCACTTCCGCCCCTGTTGTTAATTGTACCTTTCTTAATGTGGCTCTGGTAACTAGGTCTTCTGCTGTGGGGCTCCCGAGTGAAGCTGTTACCCCAGCTGTTTGACTGGGGCAGTAAGCAGGGAGAGCTGACTTGGGGTCCAGAACGCAGCCTGCTGCAGGGCCCACCCCCTTCCCTAGGCCTGTGGCACCACACCCTCGGGTCCTTATTTTATGATCCTTCACTGATAAGGAATGGTCGCTGGGATCTAGCTCCATTAGTAATCATTTTGTTTGTTGTAACGCTAGGGCCTGAGCCATGGGCCTTCACCCTGAGCTACTACACCTGCCACCCTCTTTTATTTTTTACTTTGAAACAGGATCTCGCTAAGTTGCTGAATTGCCCAGGCTGGCTGAAACTTATGATCCTTCTGCCTCAGCCTCCCGGAGTGCTGGGATTACAGGTGTGGGCCACCACATCCAGCAGTAATAGTATTAGTGTATCTTTCTTAGTGACTACAGAAGCAGTTTTTCTAAGTTCCAAGTTACCGTCTGATTCAAATACTGACATTAGATCAACAGTTATGAAGCGCCTTTTATGTGGTGAGCACCAGGTCAGAAAAGGAAAAGATCTTGATTTGGGGGTGAGAGTTACAGATTTAAACAAATAGGCAAGTGAGTGTCCAATATGAGAAGTGCTGCTTTGGTCTGAATATGGCTCCCCAGAAGTGAGCCTGTTGGGATGTTTAGGTCACAAGAGGCCTAGCCGTCCTGAGAGGGTTAGTGACAGTTATCAAAGGGCTCAGGCTGCGAGTTCAGCCTCTGGCTCTGTCTCAGACAGTGCTTTACCCCCAAAGGTATTAAGGATTGAGCCCAGGGCCTTTGCACTGAGCTACATCCCCAGCCCATTTATTTTGAGACAGGGTCTGACTAATTTTCCCAGGCTGGGCTCACACTTGCAATCCTCCTGCCCTAGCCTCCCAGTGTGCTGCCACTACAAGTGTGCACCACCACGCCCAGCTCCTCCGCCATATTTCAGTGTAACTAGAAGGCCCTCGGCATCCTAACCCCTCCATCATAGACTTTCGCCCTGCAGAACGGTGAGGAAATAAACTCCTGTTGCTTATAAGTGATCCAGTGCGCTTTCTGTGTTAGCAGCATGGATCGGGCTAAGATGGGGGCTCACCAGGAGAAATAATTTGGAGCTGGGAACAGGGCGTGCTGGTGGCAGAGGTTTTGGGGTACAGGGAGGAGACTGCATGTTCTACACAGGGTTCATATGTAAGATCTGAGTAAGCGGGTCACTGTAACCAGGAGATGGAGGAGGAGGTGTTTCCCAGGCAAAGACCTGGCGTTGGGCGGATGTGCTCCAGGCAGCCAGAAGCCCGGCAGTTCCTGTGGGTGAACGAGCGGACAGCCGGTCGGGCCAGGGAGGTCATTAGGGACCAGATGCCCGCAGTTGGGCCGCCCCAGAGTCAGGAGGACTTCAGCTCTGGCTCCACTTGAGGGCCATGGTGTGGTGGTATGCAGGGTTGTGTCAGGACTTGACATGGGGTATACAAGGCACAGATGAAGCTGTTGTCTGAAGTGCTCAGGGAACACAGGACAGAGCAGTGGGCTGCACCAGCCGGGGGAAGCTTCAGACACAGACCAAGCACGGAAGTTGGGGTCTTGGGTCCAGGGAATGCCTGAGTATGTCACTCGGTGACCACCTGTAGCCAGTGGCCAATGGGATGGAGCAGGCTCCCAGGGCCGGATCTGGAGGCGCACAGTCACCTAGAGGACACTGACAGCCACTCCGGGGGGGCAGAGCCAAGGAGGCCACCTCCCTGAAGCCGAGAGATCAGTGTGACCCAGGACAGAGGGGTCCGGCCCTGTGTCAGTTGGTCCTGGTAAGCGAGGGCCGGGAACCAAGCTGGGGAGGGGGCGGGGTCAGTGACCTCAGCTGGAGCTGGCGGGTGGAGATGGGAGGACAGGAGTTCCGGGCCACCTGAAGACACTCTGGGAGATGTGTTTCCGTGGGACAGAGGCCTCAGGCCTGTGCATAGAAGGAAAGGATCGGCTATGAGCAGCTGATAACACGGGACAGACAGAGACACAGGAGGAGACGTGCGTCTGCGTGGCCTGTGGGAGGACATCCGATCTGGCTCCCGGGGACATCCCTGCTTTCTTAGGAAATGAAAACAGCAAGATCGTTGGCTGAGCATGGAGGCCTGCAAAGGAGTAAAAATGCGTGTGCTGGACTGTGATCACCGTCTGTGGATGAAGTTTGGAGAAGCACTCAGCCACAGATAATAAAGAAGGCACACGGACCCCTGCGAAAGCTGTTTCTGCCGTTTCATTTCAGTGTTTGCGGTTAAGGGAGACGTGGGTGACCGCCATGCTGCGCTCTCCTGAGGAACCAAGCCCTCGCTGCGCCCTGTCCCTGACCTCGCCTCCACCCTCCGCTGAGCTGTGCGGAGCTGGCTGTATGGAAGCAGATGCTGTCCTGATTGGCTAAAAGAATGTGACCGAGTCCGGCAGAGGCCCCCGTGGTCTCACTGGCAGCACTGTGAGATGCCAGGGCTGAGGCACGGGACAACATCGCAGCAGAGGCCGTAGGATTCAGAAAGAATCACACCTCTAATTCCTGGCATTAGAGGTGCCAGCCTTGTGTACATCAAAACTGTCTGTGCATTGCTAAGTGGAGGCCTCTGCCTGGTACGACCTCAAAGTTTCTTTCCCCATGCACTCTGCTGGGACCCCACCGCCTCCCCAGTTGAAGCCAGTAAGAGCCATGAGCTTTTGGACATGAGACCTTTCGTTGAAGAGAGAACATGGGGTCATCCCAGAGCTCCCCAACTGCAGAGTATTTTCTGTCTCTTGCATCCATGTGCCTTATTGCCGGGTGGGTTGGGCTAAAGCCTCCATCAGGGGCTCCACAAGGGAGGCGCAGTTAAGAGCGCTTGAAAACACAAGGAACGTGGCGAACATAAGCAGAATGAGGCTGGGTCCTGAATTTGGGTGTTTCTAAGAGATGTCTCCAGAGTAACCTGCTCCCTACCTAGCGGGCAAGTTCTCGGTCGGCTTACAGCAGCTTTTGGCGATGCGTGGGCATTTAGGTACCGACTTGCACTGAATGAAGCTTTGCACTTTCTACATAGGAGGCCACATATCTCAAAGTCAGCCTCCTGAGCAGCCATTTGTAACTCAAGAGGAGGGGTGGGTGCTGGAGGGGGACCTCAGGGCTCCCCCTTTCCTCCTGCTGCACACGCCCCTCTCAGAGCAGGGCCCGCCCTCCACAGGGCAACACACATCTGACAATTACATCCGGGAGTTGTCCAGCCTCTGACTCACTCCAACTGCATCATCCCTCAGTGGCCCCTTGGATAACGGTTTCAGGTTGACCTTCGGACGAGCTAGACACAGACTCCCACAAATCACAAACCGTTCTTAGGTTCATTATCCAAACCCAGGGCCTGTGTCCACCCACGTGTGTGCATTCTT